TCGAGCTCTCTCGCTGGAAGAATCAAGGGGTGGAGACCTTAGACTGCCGCTTCCTCGACAAAAACCAGAACCATGTGAAACGCAAGTCTGACCCAACAGTGGATCCCAGGCAAAGCCGAGACTGTGCACAGCTGGATAATGGGATCTTGGGCGCATAGAAATGTCCACCGACGCTCTACTGTGTCACGACACTCCAAGTGGCATTGAGAAGGAAGTGGAGAGTGGGAGTTGGAGACAACCGCTCGGCCTTCCTCAATGGGCCTTCCAGCCCCAAAGAATTTCCGGCAACCAAACAGAGGCATTCCTGGACTGCAACCTGGGCAACTGATCGAAGTCTTGAAAGGTGTCATCGGACTGTCCACCAGTCCCAAAACTCTGCATGACCAAGAAGAAGTGCTTGGATTCCAGTAGAACACCACCAACCCATGTGTCTTCATGCTGACTGGGAAAAGGGGCACTCAAGGTCTCTTGCTCACCCATGTGGATGATATCATGATCATGGCCGAAACAGACCTCTCGGACAAAGTGCAAAGTAAGATGACAATTTCCCATTGATGAGTGGGAAAATAACAACTTCGAGTACGTGGGCTGCGAGTACCAATGCACCAAAGAAAAGGATTACATTTTGCAAAAGGTCTACATCAGCAATCGTGTGGAACGGGTAGAAATCAATCAAAATCAAAAAAAATTATGACCTGGCCTCTCCAGAGCAGAAGGAAGAAAACCGCACGGCAATTGGATGTTTGTCTTAGCTAACGAAGCAAATTCTTCCTAATTTACAATTTGCTGTGTATCAAGCCCAACGACGTCAACAAAATCCGACCGTGGGCGACTTTAAAGACACCAACCGCATCGTGCTCCAGAGCTCCAACTACAAGGACCATAGGCGGCTGTAAAGGATCCCTAAGGAAACTATATGGATCATCGCATATCTAAGTTGGACCCTGAAGCACATACTAATAATAACAAGAAGCTATTAAGAACAAGTACATCGCTTCTAATAACAAATGCCTTACTAGTAGTAACAAGAAGTTACTAAGAACAAAACTTAAAAGAAAAGATCACAAGAAGCAGTTTGGAAATCACACCATCGCCTCGCAACAGAGACTGCTTGACCATGGTGGCACTATCAACCTAGTCGACTAGCGAAGCAAAGTTCATACTGCTTCAATAGCATGCAGTTTTAGTTCCTCTACGTTTTTTTTTGCGGGATAATTTGGGAGTCGTTGGTCCGTTACACTTCAATATCTTAATAATCAATTTTGTCCATAACCTCAAGAAGAAACACCTCATTCTATACGAATACATTCGGAGAAGAATACCAAACCTTAGAATGCTTAATAATTCGGTAATTTAATCAATATTTTAGAATTGAGTAAATCCTTTTGTGCGGCCAATGTCTTGTGCATGGAATAGCTTTTGTGCTTGGTTCTATGCATGTGTCAGCTCAGGCCAAGCTCTGACTCGCCCTTATCTGGGCGCGCTGTAAACGCAAAACTTACCAAACATGCGGATCTGAAAATCTTGGGCTCGACCCAATCTTGGATGAACCAATGTCAGTTAATCCTGCGACATGTCTGAATTAGAACCCTCGGCCCAAGGATCAAACGTTGCCGTCGTGAAAGGAGCCTCTGGCTGAAGCAACGCTGTGTGTGAGCTTATGTGTTGCCTCGCGGAAGGCTTGTCGATGATACCAAACAAGGAAAAGGACAATCGACAAAGACACCGGAGCTGCCAAGAGGGTCATGGTCAAAGAGATTGTTGGGTCAATGAGCGGGCAATTCCTGGTGTGCAATCGCACAAGAACCACCAGCACGAAAACGGAGAACACTCCCCAAAGATTGAACTTGTTCATCATCTTTTGTGTGTGATGGCGCCCGCTCGCATCCAAGTGAAAGGAGGCTGCGTGGCCAAGCAAGTTGAGAAGCATGAAGGATATAGCCTCAAATGGTCACAACTGGCAACTAGACTACAGTCTCCCCATCAAACAACCCTAACAAACACATTTTATATTCTGGATGGAACAATCAAACAACACCTTCTTTTCTCCAAGCAACAATCAGAAAATACTCTTCCATCCAACTTGCCGAATCAGTGGTCGGGAGCAATCCGATGACCTGGTTTCTAAGGTTTGTCAATGACAACAAGGCCAGCATAGTCGTGGCCACCCGAGGCATGGCAAGCTTCACGCCCAAGGTGAAAGCCAGGAATCCCATCAAGCCGTAAATGATTGAGGGCCTTGGATAATGATCAAGCCAAAGATTGTGAGCACAAAACAAACATCAGTTAATTAACACGATCACAAAAATTGGCGCTTAACCCAAGGAGCCATATGTAAGTTTTCAACAAGGCAGCCCAATGCCTGGTGCCCGTCATCGCACAAGTGATGGTCGCCGAGTTTTGCAACTTGCAAGTGAAATAGTCCCAATCAAAGTTTACATAGGAAGCATTGATTGGCCATGAGCATTCCACAACACCATCTTGGCCAATTGTCGGGATACTTCCTGCCAGTGTGAGGTTTCACACCAAACATCATGCCGTTGGATGTGAACAGTGCAAAAACTGAAAAAAACCCTTCCTTCCCCGGCGCATCCCAAGACCAGGCGGTAGAAAATGCCACATGGCTTTTGCAGGGCAATCTCAAAGTGCATAGTCTTCACGTCAAAGGGGTAGCATGACAAGTCGTACGAATACAACGATTGGGAGAACCTGAGGCTGAGTGCCAACAATTGGTGATGTGTTCTAACTCAGAGTTCAGTTTTCACACAAATCTAGAAACCACATGAACAGGAAAAAGTGAAGCGCTTCTTTAAGGAAGCTCCCCCCTCGCCCTCAGCCGAGAGCTTCCTTGAAGCGTGAGCTATCAGCTATCCCGCTAAAACCAGTCGGAGGACTGGCCCACATAAGTCTTGCTGACGCTCGTGGCTTGCTTTCCGGTCTTTGGGTCCCAAAGCCTTCGATAGCTCGAAAGGTCCAAAACGAAGCAACAAAAGCTAGTAGCGTGGCACTTGTTACTAATAGCAAACATTGTTACTACTAGTAAGGCACCTGTTACTACTAGCGTGGCACTTGTTACTAGTAGCGTGGAACAAAAACAACAAAATACCCAACAAAGAGTTCTTGTCTTCATCACTCTGTTTTTGCTGACAAGCGCATAAGGCAAACAGTTCTTGCCTTAGCGAGCTCAGAACGCTAATATCACCGGAGCCGGAGCCAAAGTTCACGACGTCGACCATGTTCTCTGGGTTGGTGACCTAGGAACATTCAGACTAAGAAGCAATGGCCTCAACCCTATTGCAACTTTTTGACTTCGACGAAAATCCAGCATCTCAATCAATCGCACCTCACTTTCGTGTGTCACATGCTTCACCAAAACCAAATGAGTTCACCAATCCACTTAAGTTGCCGAAGCCAAAGAAATTCACAATTTCAGCAAACACATTTTCAATACATCCTTGCGACAAAGGTGGTTGCTTCCTCTCCATAAATCGTTGCAATGGACATTCTTCCTTTGATGAACTTTTCCCTGTCACTGAATGCCAAGAAAACATCCCATGATGGGATGACCGTGAGCGGGATGCTGCCATTCAAGGTCTCGTTGATTTCAAAACCATCCGGCAGAGCCTGTTCACGACAGGCTGTCAAAACATTTTTAATACAACATATGAAGGGAACCTTCCCTGAAACAGTTGAACTTGACCTTCATGCAGGCCTGCATTCTGCGGTCGACTGCTTGGGTGGACTCGTCGAAGAGATGGTCCCATTCTTGGGCCCTGCATATCAAAAGCAAAGCCAGAACAGCAGGAGAACGCGCCATTGAACAGCGGGAGCAGGGAGCAGGGAGCAGGGCCGAGCACGGGCTGCAGCACGAAGCTGTCGGTCGTGAATGAACGCTTCTGGACGTGATCGATCGTGTCCATCGATTTTGCGCCCTGTACGCATAGGTTCTCAATCGTGTTTTGACCCTGAACGTTCAGTGCAACACGCAATCAGAAGCCAACTAAGGTCAGAAACCATCTATGTAATTCTAGTAGCGATGGCCTCCAACCTACTAGCGATGGTCTCCACCCTACTGGTGCCTCCACCCTACTAGTGATGGCCCAACCAAGAAGCCAACGGAGAAAAGCAAACAGCGCTTTTCACTTTCAATCCCACAGGTGCGCTGATCCACCTCACTCAGCAAACAGCATGTAAATGGGAGAGAGCAGACTGTACGTGCTCACCCTGGCAACTGGTCCGGATCACCAATGAAATGAGCCTGGCTAAGCCTACTAAACAAGTGGCGAACACATACGGTGTATTGGTTTTGATTCGATTATTTTGTTTTTCCTATCCGTCACACGTGGCAAAGATGATGATAACGATGATGACGATGACGATTACGACGACGACGACGATGTCCTCTACGAAGCTACTATGGTCAGGGCTGCGTTCGAGAAAGATTTTGATTTCTTCAACCTCCAAGTCACTAAAGCTTTGGAAAGGGGTTGGGAACTGCCATCAATCTGTTGAGAAAGGTCTATCCTCCGTGTTGGAAGTTCCTGTTTGCGAAACTAGTGCAAACATGTTCAAACCAACAAATATATCCAAAATTGAGTCCTGGTTTTTTACCTTAGGAATGCAATCTTGTAGGCAGCTGTAAACTGAACAGGTAAGAAAACAACATGGAGCCCAAGAAGCTTGTCTTACATTGTGCCGTGCCCTTTTAGTTACCAAAACCAATCAGTTCTGAACTTTGCAACATGCTGCTGCGAGCAAAGCAACTCTGTGCAACGGGCTTCTGCCTCTGTACAATGAAGCCACAAAAATTCTTTGCGGTCACACACTGAGTGCTACCTTGGTGCTAAAGCACAATTCCGGGCAGCCCGTCATTGGCAGGACTTTTCCTCTTCAAATCTCTTGCCAAATGGTCCATGGGATGGGCATGTCTTGCTTCAAAGGACTGGCCGTTGAAGTTGAAGGTCAAGCTACTGTTAACCTCTCTTCTCACTCAAGGTGCATTATAGCCGAGTGTCACCTGAGCGCAGCATTGTATGTGAAATCACTCAAGGAGGAACCTTGAACAAATAAAGTATCCTTTTTGTCCCTCAACCAGCCAAACAAAGACTTTCCTACCTTCACGCCTTTGAACATAGCAAAGTCAGCCATTGAAACATCACCAAGTTCATACTTCAGGATAAACCATGGAGCCATGGATAGTTTCCCAAAAAATCTAGGAGCCAAATCATTAGTGCGTGAGCTATCCTGCGTCCATATGTAGTAGCTTACTTAAGCTAGCTACCTCAGCCTACCCGGGGCTTTAAAAGAAAAACCAGAGCAGTCCCAAACGCTTCGCCTCGCGAGATCCGTGAGAGAGTCGAACCAGGCACAGTTCCCCCAAACGGTCCAACGTGCAAACAGGCCACTGCCACTCACACTAGGCCGATTTGGAGCAAGAAATATGGAAGGGCCTCCCTTTGAGCGGGCCGCAGCCAAGCAGAAGAAGTAGATCAGCAGCAACAAGAAGAGAGAAAACAGGACCATCCTGAAAGAGAACGAAAAGAAGGTTATCGCTTCACGCAAAATGAACTCTTGGCTATTGGGGAACGCAATGAAACATGCCAAAGAGTATGTCAATTGAATCTTCACAGTCAAGCATCGCACACATGTGACGAGTGTTGGGGTTCTTTGCAACCTTCTGCAAGCGCGAGCTTGCGCTTGAAAGCAGCTGGCGCGCGCGGGTGAAATGCCTCACCAAACACACAGGAGGCTCAGGGTGAAAACACAAAACAAAAGCGCCAAAAATACATATCCTTTGGATGATTCAGCCCTGGCAGTTTCATTTGACCCTTTTCAATTAATCTTAATCTCAGTTTGGAACAGGTCCTGGGAGACACCTACCTCACATTTTGCTGGAAACCAGCTGCTTGATGACTTTGGTTCGCGTTGCCAAACATGACCCCCGAACCTCAAGCCAAATCTAACCCAAAGTTTCTTTTTGAGTATGGAGCAACCTGGCTGAGAACCAGTCAACCAACAAAGCTGGGATTAAATCTTTGTAAGACATGTAAGTTTCTTCTACAGCCAGCCCGACTTTCAGTCAGTCAAACGTGAGGGCCGTTCTGCGGCAAAAGCATGGTCTCATTGACTCTGAAAGAAGTTCCTCGGTTTCTTTGATCCTCGTTTTGTGTCAGGTCACGTATCCATCTCCTCCAATTGATGATTCGAGTCCTTGGTCTCCTCTCCAATGCCTGATGCAACTCCGCCAAGATCACTCGAGATGGACACCTCTTAAGAGAAACTGAAACGAGAAAGAGAAAAACCAAAAGAAAAAGAAACAAAGAAAGACAGAAAGAAAGAACACATAAATAAAGAGGAAAGGTCTAAAGACAAACATGAAGTCCAGAGCAGAAACAATGTCAATAGAAAAACACCAGAGGAAAGGATACACGTCAAGAAAACAATATAAAGAAAACAAAACCCATGCCTAAAGAAAAGCAAGAACAAACAGTCTATACAAAGGCAACAAACAAGAAATAGAAAGGTCTAAAGAAAAACATGTCGAAAAGACAGAACCAATGCCTAAAGAAATATACATACAAGTTTAGAGAAAAACGGCCCAAAGCAAGAAAAACAACAAAAGGTCTAAAGACACATGAAAAATCGCCTGAAGAAGAATATCTAAGGAAAGTACGAAGAACAAGTCCAAAGAAAAATAGACACAAGAAATTATAAAGAAACATAAAACAACACGTTTAAATAACAAAAAGAAAAACGTCCAAAGAAACACGGAAAACACACAGGCTCTAAAGAAAACAGTGAAGTTTTCCAAAAAATCTAGGAACCAAATCTTTAGTGCGAGCGCTTCTCCGAAGCTTCCCTCCACTCTCAGGCGCGGGGAGCTTCCTAGAAGCGTGAGCTATCCTGCATCCAGTTCCTCGAAGCTTACTTAAGCTACTAGCTATCTCTTCTACCTCTTCTAGCGGCCTACCTACCTACCCCCCTGGGCCAAAAACAAAAAGAGGTGAAACCATCAAGATGGACTTAAGCTACTAGAAATTGAAACGAAAAGGCCAGGGCCGAAATAACTCTTCTCTTCCAAGCTGCTGAGGCTGACCTCCTTGAGTTCACTCACTTTCTTGGCCAACTCTTCCGTCATCTCCTGTCAAAGAGGCACACAATCAGGCGATCTTCGGTCCAGCCCCAAGGCCCACATGGAAGAACAAAGGTCATCTTCTGTCTGAGGTATGCCAACAAGACATCCGTTTGAGCATCCCTCCTTCACCCAACCTACAATAAGGCGATCGGTCGTTTGAATTGCAAAAAAAGACACTACTAGTGGCGATGCACCTGTTACTAGTAGCGTTCTTGTTGTTTGAATTGTCTCCTCATTGTGTTCCTCCAGTGCATCCTGCTCTGCCGCAGCATACAAAGCTGCAGCTGCCTGTCCGCAGGCCGTGGGTGGGATCAGCACACATCAATCATGTACAGCTGCGAAGTAAAGCCTTGAAATACAGACAGGGTTTTCACAAGCAAAACCAGCAAAACCTGAAAGCGAAGCGAATGGAAGCTGCATACCGCTATTTGCACCAAAACCGCAAGAATCACCGGTCACCTGGATCGATCGTCATGGGTCAAACCGTCTTCGTCGTCGCGAACAACGCCTGGCCCTTGGGGTTCACGCAATTGCTGCGACCGAAACGGGACCTGGCAGCGGCTTAAGGTGAAGCTTGGTGGAAGGTGAGCGGCCCCTTTTCAAGAAAAAGGACAGGTTGAACCTTGAAGAGTGTGGGTGAACCAGCCATGACAACTCACATTTTAAAAGAAACGGAAGGTTCGGAAAGGACCAAGAAGACATCCTTTCAAAGAGAAGACATCTCTCTTCGCCTGGAGATTGAGGACGCTAGCCATGTGTGAAGTTGGAGGGGTCTAAGAGCAGCTGGCCCAAGCTGAACCAATGTAAAGAAGATCACAATACTATTTGCAGGGGGCCGATTCCAAATGCCTGTGTAGCTGTACATTCTTGTTGCCCATTTTTGCTTCAAAGTTTCTTCTGCCAGCCCAAGAGGCCCAAAGAGAAGTGCTTGGTGGTCCAATTGATATCGGCTCCTCGGATGAGGCTCGGCCCAAAACATGTCAAAAAACACTCCCTGAAATCATGGGCCAACGTGGATGGAAATTGACCCCGATTTCGAGCAAATTCGAAGACCAAACAGGTGGATTTCACTCCACTTCCGAACGTTTTCCTCGGAGTGTCTGTTCGGCGGCTTGAATGGGCCAAACATGTCTGGACTGTTCGTACCCTGGACGTTGGTGGGTATTTCTCCATCCAAACCCAAACCAGACCGTGATGCATCCCAAACAAGACCTTCCTTTCTTTCTTTTCTTTCGCAACGGACTCTTGGAAAATGACGAACCGGCAAGCAAACTGAATTCAGCTGCCACCCACATGCCAAACAAAACCGTGAAAACGACGGGTATTTGATCCAAAGCTTCACCAAGACGGACGTGTTTTTCATCGAACGGACCTAGAAGCCGAGGCACTGCTTGGCCCGTTCCTCCTCAGAGACCATCATCCTGAACCGAACTGTGCGGCAAACATTTGTTTTCAGTTGTTCTGAACATCTTCAAGTAGTACTGCTTCAAGTAGTACTTTTGTCTGTAGAAAAATGGTTCGGTCATTTGAGCCACAAGGACACTCAATCTCGTTTCTGAAAAACCATAGCGTCCTAAGAGACAGGGTAAACACATGCTGGCCTTTCTTCTCCACACCGAGGGCTTTGCAAACTCGGCACTTGAGAGATCTGCGGATATGTTGCTTTTGGAAAAGGGCTGTGGGCTGTGGAGTTCTTCTTTTGAAGTTTGTTTTCAGTAGCTACAGGGCAACCTGGGCAAAAAACTAAGGTCGTGGAACGATATTTGAGAAAGACTTGTCTTGGGTCGCGAGCATTTCTTCGCTCGCGGTTGTTCTGCTGAGCTTGTGAGCCAGGCCGGAGGCAGGTTTTGTGCGTTGAATGACTTCCATCCAGCTTCTTGAGAAGCTGGAGTCTTTCTGAGTCGACGAGTCTTGTTCACAAAGCTGCCATCCGCAAACTACTAGGAACAAGAGGACGCTACGAACGGGGCTCCTGGCCTTACTACTAGGAACAAGTAAGTAAAAGTTTCGAAGTCTCTGAAAGCGATTCCCGTTGCTCCTAGTAGCGTCCTTCCTTGCTCCTAGTAGTAAGGCCAGGAGCCCCGTTCGTAGCGTCCTTGTATCCATTTTTGTTTACATGGAAGAGCATGCTTCCAAGATGAGGCGATTCACTTTAGAGGTCCCACTGCAACTTGCAGCTGCTGGATGTTCGGATCTGGCGGCTCATTTGGGGTTTCCCAAGGTATCTTCTCTCATACTTGCTACTCAAGTGGGCTATTCATTTCTCTTCACAAGAGCTGACCGTGGTCACTAGTCAGTTACCAAACACGATGGTCACGGTAATCACCCAAATCCTCCCCTTGTCGATGGTTGGTAATCTATCTGATCTTTCTGCCTAATAGTTGCGGCCGGGAAATTGGCAATCTGTATGCCAAAACACAGGCCAAGTGCCAATCTTCCATCACTGCCGTTCCCCAAATTTACTCCTCATTCTACTGAAGAAAGAAAGAAAGAAAGAAACTCGAAAAGAAACCAGTTAAAACAACGCACTCAAGTAACATGCATCTCCAAAAATCCATCCTCTTCCCCAATCAAGGAAAGAAAAGGCTGGAGCGAGCAAAAAGGACACCCAAAACGACAGAACAACTGCAGCGTGGCGCGCATTTTGGTGCATCTTTGGTCTCAGTCTCACTGGTCACCGGTCTTCACTCAGGCGCATCCCAGGACGACTCACCGGTCTCCTGGCGAGTCCAACCCTCCCTCGGCGCATCCGGCGTCGAACTGTGGCGTCGAGCCTTGTCTTCTTTCTCACAAACAAACCACGTTTTCTACGTAAAGAAAGACAAGAAACAAAACCACATGCTTCACGTGCCTTCTCTTAACAGAGATGTTCCCTGTTTTCTTTGATGCATTCGATCTTTTGTTAACCTGGCGGGCTTTATGTCATCCAGAAGCTTGGTAGGTGTTGCAGGATCAGGGTCCTCCTCTGTGTCATCCAATGGTCCAACCCCATAGAGAACCTCCCATGCAAACGACCTTCGACACGACCTTCCGTTGAAGAAACCAAGCCCAAACACAGTCCGAAGGAACACAACAAACGGAAAAGAACATCGCAAAACAAGACGTGGGCAGTAGACACACCCAAAAGGAAAAGCCAAGGATCTCGCTGCTTTTGAGCAAACATCTTTCTTTTTCTCCGAAAAAGCCGCGCCGCACAACCGCGCCACACACGTGTCCTTGTTGTAGAAGAATTCGTTACCATCGTCGGCGACGCACTGAACCCATCCCGGAGCGCCGTCCACCTCAATGGATCGAAGCGGTGGGATTTCGGGAACGAACAAAGCGGACCGTCTCTACATGGAAAGACATGGAAAGACCTTGCTGTGACAAGGTCTTTCCATCCCAGCGACTTCTCCAAAAGCGCACGCAGCGCGTGAACGCTCTGTTTTTGGTCCCTGGTCTCGGCTGTTTCGACATGCAAATGGATGTTAAGTTGTCTCAGCGAGCAAATCTGAGCAAACCGAGCATTCTCTCATTTTCTCTATTTCGATTCCAAAGTCATTGATCTTTGGGACGCAACTCAGCATCAGGGGTGAGAACTGATTGCGCTCGAGCACGAGGAGCACGAGCAACATTTGCCCACGGAGTGCAGGACGCTGCAGTCATGCAAGCAGACTCCGTGCTTGGTGGCTGCTGATTGCAGCCCCGACCGGAAAAGTCTCGCCAGACATCTGGACGAAGCAAAACAAAGCAAACATGCAAGACGTCAAACGATGTTTCTTGAACAAAACTGGTCAATTCTGCCGAAATCAGCACTCTCAGCACTCTGATTACGTGGGTGAAAAGAACTGAGCCCTGTGGTTTCACAGCAGCTTTGCTGCCAGTCTGCTGTTTGAGCTTGACCGACCTCAGAGATCGACGCCAGGTTTCCATGTCCCAGCGAAGTCCCTGCGACATCCATGTCCATCCATGCGTTCCATGAGAATGAACTGGTTCTTTGGAACCACCTTGTTACGTTCGTAGCTAGTAACAAGTGCATCGCTACTAGTAACAAGTGCATCGCTAGTAGTAACAAGTGCATCGCTAGTAGTAACAAGTGCCTCGCTAGTAGTAACAAGAAGCTATTAGAATTAAAATTCGTAGCGTCTTTGTTCCTGGATGGACCCAAATTGCTCACTCTCGTTCGCACCACGAAACCGGGTTTTCACCGGAAACGACCCATTTGTGGCTTGCCAGTCCAACTTGTCAGCCCCAACCGCCGGAACGTCGGGTTTCCTTCATTTGGATGTGGTCCTGGTGGTAGTTTTTGCCAAATCCGCCCTGGTTGACGAAGAAACCGATGGCCCTTGGCCTTCGCAATAGCAAGCTTTCAGCGTGTTTCAGCGTTTGTTCTTTTCATCACTGGGCCGGCGACATGAAACAATGTTCGCTGGCCACTGAAGCCGTACTGGCGCTGGCCGTGGCGTGCGGAAGCAAGCGGCTTCTCAACTTCACCAAACCCAACCACGGTTTTTTACCAGGGTTTTGTACCCCAAGGCCCAAGGTGAAGAGATTCGGACTGTTCCACAAGCTGAAAAGCTAGCAAGCACTGAAACTGCTGCTGCTAAGGACTGAACGAACTGAGATGTTTCTTTCACCAACAAACCTCCGAACTGGAGCGCTCTTGGAAGCCTTTTGTGTCCCTTCTTTCACTTTTGGGAAGCCTTTTCTTTATTCTCTCCTGATGCTCTCCTTCTCTCTTTATTTCGTTTCTTGACCATTTGCATCTCGAGCAAACCTAACAATAACGCCATGTGCTCCACTCCCTTCACGCGGCTCCCACCGCCTCAGCGGGATGCGCTGACGTCGTGAAAGCTGGTGACCACCTGATGACGTACCCGCCGATGGCCAGCTGTCGCACCTTTTTCCCGGTTGTGTTGACCAGAATCAACGGGAAAAAAGCACCAATTTCTGACTGCTTCCAGGTTGGAGGCCATCGCTGGTTGAAGCTACTCGGCTTCTTCGATCGTTCACCTTCACGTCTCCACTCCGCTTTCTCCCCCTAAACGTGGCCCCCGGGCATCACGGAAGAGCTTCCGATAGTCCACAGCACTAAGATCCGCTTCAGGCTCGAGATAGAGGATGGCACGCTGCACCTGGGAGAAACATCCAACGAAGAGACGAAGAGCTACTAGGAACAAGTGCATCGCTAGTAGTAACAAGTGCCTTACTAGTAGTAACAAGAAGCTAGTAGAAACAATATATAAAATATAGTTTATAGTTTAATTAGAATTAGAAAAGATTATAAAACGAACGAGTCCAACGAAGAGACGAAGAGTCGCCTCGTCGTTTGACGTACTGTCTTTTCGTGAAACACGGGTTCGGTGTGCGCTCTGTTCAGAAATGTCCAAACAGCTTCTAAAGCAGCAAAGCTCATCAAAGTTTCGGACAAAGAGGATAACACTCCAACGGAAAACAAGACCTTGGGCCCCTTGGGCCTTGCTCTTAACCCACTCCAGCATATGTTCGGGCCGGCCGGGCCGGTGTCCGAGTTTCGGGGGCCGAAAGAAAACGCCAAGGCACGTCCTCGATGTGGAAAGAATGACCTACTTGTTCCAAAGCATCTTTGATCTGCTCAGCCGAGACATGATCCTGACACAAAAGATGGTGCTCAGCGGGTGGCCCTTTTCATGTTAATAGGTATCAGATCAGTTGTCACAAAGCATCTGGGGCTCATCGGTGATACAGCCGATTCCTGGAATCGGTCTTTCACCAAGTCCAGTCCTCATGGGTGATGTGTTGCATTTCCTTCAAGACTCTGATGATGAAGTTGTGCCTCAACGCAGCAGGCCTTTCGGAAGGGAACATCGGCCGATGGCCAAACCCGCGAACAGAGCTAGGCAGGCAGTTGCGAATCACATGCTCGCTCGGATACATGCAAATCCATCGGGCCATCTGGGCAACTTTGATCTCCGTCTATTCAAACGAGGACTTTGTTCAGTGTCTGAACTTTATTCATCAAGGACTGCACAAAGAATCGTGTTCCTCCCTCTACAGCTGACGTTTTCGAACTCTTGCAACCAGGGACCACATTCCACGATCCCCGAGCGACTTGACGTCTATGGATTTCTCTCAACACAAAACTGAGGAAAGAAAACACTCCAAATACCTCAAGACAGCATTCCAAGTAGTTCCCTTATGTTCCCTCAAAACGACATCGATTTCGCTTTCTCGCTGGGCCACTTCTTGTAGAGCACATCGCCCAACTCTCGAACCGCCTTGCGCACCTGAGCGTGGGAAGTCCCATGAGTCGCGACTGGCATGACCAAATAGAACGGTCACGCTGTCCAACGTGAGAAAAAGAACCTCATGAAAAAAGCCCACTGGTTGGGCAAACAATTCCTATTCAAAACAAGAAAATCAACTGGGAAACCAATGGACACTCCACAATAGAAAACATTCTGCAGAAGGAATTCGTTCTGTGACTGTGTTGAAAACCCAGCGAACAACAAGCCTTTTTCATTCTGTAGGTGCCAAAGAAGTTTGAATTCAAAAGGAGTCCAAGATCTCAACTTTTGATCCTTTTCGGCGCCTGAGTGGTCTCAGCACGCTCCGCTGTCTTGACCATCGCGCGCTCCGCGTAGGCGTGGTCATGAGAGTCCTCAGAGCCGCCGACGAAGACGACACCCGGGTGCCTGTGGATATGGGTCACGTGGTGGTGGAAGGGAGCGAAAGGATAACAAATCGACAGGTCTATACATACAGTCCACTGCTAATTAGCTGTGGCTTGGACAGACTGCAAGTCGAATAACCGCCGACCCCTGCCTAGCTGACGCTTAGGTGGGGGGGCGCCTGGGACAGCGCAGCAAGAAGACTCCTAAGACCCACAGTAACAGCACGTGGCCTCCAAAGGGCACCCTCTTTCTCTGGGGTTCCGAAGGTGACGTCAGACAGTGGCAGCGGTCGCTCCTTCCCCTCTTGAAACCTCCAGGGCCAGGGTGTTTCACAGCGAGGCCGAGGTTTTGGCGTGGTCCATCGGGCGGACCATGCCAACCTCCCCAACCAAAGTCTTTTGGTGAGGGCCTTCCTTGCTGCACTAAGCCGAGACCAGAGACTTGGAGCCCCAATATCTGTACTGGTAAGCGGCGTCTAGCGTCATGGTACCGACATGGTACAGCTGCGGGTCCGCGCGCCACAAAAACCACCGGTGAAAAGACATACAAGAGGTGCCTGGATCCCTCCGTCTTCTGCCCCACCAGCCCAGCCCATGACCCAGCATGTCCCTTCTTCATCCATCCTTCCCCCTGCTATTCTTTAAACAGCAGTGCCAGTGTCAGACCAACTCTGAACAGCCACACTGTTTCAAACGACCACCTTCACAGCACTCGGTCCTCACCCGCTGGAACATCAAGGCGAGCCATGAAAGCTATCTGATACTCCCACATGGACCCAACAGAAATATGCATGACAAGTGCAGTCCATGTTTCATGTTTTGCTTGCGCAAAAAGGACCAAACGTCTTTTCGCCAACCATGAGTGCTTCAACTACTCCTCAAATGCCCAATTGGAGCACCCTTGTTGGCTGTGGGCTAGCTTCCTAAGGTGACCTGGACAGGGGTTGGCGGCACATGGGCGTTAGCCCAGTCTATAAAGATACAGGATTATACAGGTCCAAAGAACAAATGGGGGAAACACACCATCATGATGCTTTATCTTTTCCACCAAAATAATTAGTGCGTGAGCAATCCGCGTCATATCTAGTATCATCCTATTGCTAGTAGCGTGTTTACTCCCTTACTTTAGTTAAGAGTTAAGAGGCAGGGCCGGGCGGGCAAAAAAAGGAAGGAAACACAGCGATCTCTTTGGACAAGAGATCTCCAAAGCTTTTCTTCAAGGCACATCTAGAGGATGGTTGGTGTGCAACATCACCGTGGTCCAATCGGGATCCAACCTCAGCAAGACTGGCCCAAATCGAGGAAGAGGTGTGCCACAGTTCTTTTCTTCATGAATTCCCGAAGTCCTGATTTTCTGACCAGAGAAAACATAGAAGCGATGCACTTGTTACTTGAAGCGATGCACTTGTTCCTAGTAGCGAACATTGTTTCTAATAGAAAATCATCATCCCAAACTCCGAGTCACAAGGCATCGCAGAACTCGTTGTAACTCACCTGGCCGTCCTTGCGCGTGTCGAAGTGCCGCATGATCTTCAAGACGTCCTGACGTCGTCGCAACTCGACGTGCCCCAAGTGGGACGGGGGGGGAGAAGGTGTTTCTTGTTCCGTTTTCTCATTTAAAGCCCCCAGTATTTTGAGGCGTTTGTTTGCCACCTTAAGCGTCCACAATGGTTCACCACAAACCTGTGACGAACTGCAAAGAACCCTGCTCGGCCGGACCCAAATCCGACCAAAGCAGCAGCAAAAGCGGGCGAGCGAGTGAAAAGCGAGCTGGATCTCCTCGGGCGCCAGCTGGAAGCCGAACTTCTCCAAAGCTTGCTGGAACTCTGCTACAGTGAGGACCTTACGCCGAACGTCGACCACGTCTATGCATGGTTTCTAGGTCTGGGATGAAGAACGACAATTTTCTTTGGAAGTTTTACTCTCTAAAATCGCTGCCGCCAGCTGCTGTTACTACGCATTTTCTGGAGATCACTCGTTGGTGTTTTCGCCAAAGACACTCCATCATGGTCACCATCGAAGCGCCTGGCAACGCAATATGGAGTGAGTGTCTCGTGTCGGAGTCTTCCTGGGATCTCCCGGTCCATCGCTCTCAGGTGAAATGTCGGAGGCCATCTCTGTGATCTACTAACAAGTGCCTTACTAATAGTAACAAGTGCTTTATTACTAGCAACAAGAAGCTATTAGAATTGAATTAAGATTAACTACTAGCTTCTTGTTACTACTAGTAAGGCACTTGTTACTAGTAGCGATGCACTTGTTCCTAGTAGCTTCTTGTTAGATCTTTCATCACAGATCCTTTCTCCGTTCGAACACTCGCGCCTGAAGATGTCGCGCACCAGTGGGTATTGCTGACGCATCGAGTCCCTCAACTTCTGAAGGACGGCTTCCAAGTCGAACTTTCGCAGCAAGGCATCCGGGTTTTCGAAGACCTACCAGGATCGTGTCCGCAAGTGTGTAAGCATGTCAGAAAAAGGGCTGAAGGTCAGCTGTTTCACTTTGCTTCCAACAAACTGCTTTCCCGCCGCAGCCAGTTTGGGATGGACAGTTGTTTCGTCGAGAGAATAAAGCCAAAAAGAACAGCCTGAGTAGCCACATACCCCAGATCAAACACCTCTCATCCTGTATATCCCCAAAATCTCCGTGGGTCCTCCTTTTCAAGCACGTCTTTGAGCAAAAACACCTGGCAGTTAAAGGTAAACTTTGTACTGCAATTCTTCTTTAGCCTTTGGACCCTTGCACGCCTTTACATATCTCTTTTCCTTTCCTAAAGTGCCTCGACAAATATGATTTGCCCACAGCCTTCTTTGAGTATTCATCCATGTCCACAATCAGGAACTCATTGTTGTAGACTTTGACAATATTGCCTGACGAAGGACCAAACGGCGGTGCGTGCGCGTTCGACCTGGTACGGTGCGTTTGGTCTCCTGGCAGAACCGGGAAAACACAAACAGCATGACACAAACAGGTCTCGGTTTCCATTTGGATTCTTTCTTTTACTAGCGACGCTACGCACGGTGGAGGCCGCCAGTAGGTTGGAGGCCATTACTACTAGTAACAAGAAGCTACATCATTCTACACATGTTCTCTTCCTTTTCTTGCAAGCTCTCTGTCTCTCTGTGTGGTTGTCAACGCTCTTTTGTCACCGTGGTTTTGAGATCTTCACGATTTCCACTGTAGATTCTTGAGGGAATCCGGTGAATTTCCAACCTGCTCCCCTTCAGTTCTTGCTCTGGTGAAGCATCATGGTGAAATGGATTCGGAGCTCATGGCGTCAGGATGCGTCAGGTATTATTTAGGATCTTCTGCGGTCTGACAGGATTCGACCTCTGTTCGGTAAAAGACCCTTCGATGGTCGACAGACTCGTGGTCTTTGACCGCGCCTGGAATGAGATCGTTGGGCTGGAAGAGCTCTCCCGTGACCTGGTTCATGTGGGTGCCTGGCCAGTCGGTGCGAACCTCCCCTGAGCGGTGTGAACCGCTTGGCCATTGCTACGAACGGAGCAAAGCGGACGCTACGAACGGGGCGCTCCTGGCCATACTACTAGTGCAACTAGGAACAAGGTTCGCTACCAGTTTCCCTCAAAATCTAGGAACCAAAGGATTAGTGCGAGCGCTTCTTCAAGGAATCTCCCTCAGGCTGGAGGAGCTTCCTTGAAGAAGCGTGAGCTATCCTGCATCCATGCTGGGAGCGGCCTGTATCTACTAGCTACCTCTCCCTTATGTAATTATATAAGTAGGCGCCTAGCGGCCTTTAAGTAGGTACGGAGGGGGGGAGCGGGCGAAAAACAAGAACGACACCGAGTGAAAAGAGCTTCTGTCACGGTCGGTCTCGGACCCGTCGGTGGGTCGCCTTTCTCCAAGAAGCGACCCGTGACGATGCCTCAGAGCGGGTTCGGAGACAGGGTGAGAGTGGTGAAAGAGTGCTTCCTTTCTGAAAAAAACATCTCAAATGTTTTCTCTTTTTTGGCACGTACCGATCAGTCACGAGTGAAACTCTTCTTTCCATCGAACGACGAATCCATGGGGCCATGGGGCAACCATGTCCGACTTGAGCAAAGTGCAACAGTTGTTTTTCCAAAAAAGGATTCAGAACTTTTCCAGGGGACTTACGCTTCATTGTTGCGACCAACTTCTCATGCCCAACGATCAGAGTCATCCAGGTCATATCCGTGTCATCCATCTGTCCTTTCTTGTTCTTTCCTTGGAGTGCCCCCGGAAACGAATCAAGGATCTGCCTGCGGGTGATTCTTTTCGAACAAATCCCAACAACCTTCTGCAAACCTTTTCGAACAAATTCAAACAATGTCACGTGAACGGCGTGAATGGCCGGATTTCGACATGGCGCCCAAATTCCTCTGCGGTGGCTCGTGGATGGCGAAAGTATCATCCTCAGGCAGCTGCGAAGGTGACAGCTCAGGTGACTCCAAAGAGCATGGGGGCAGGAAAAGCCATGTATCCATTTGGGTGTTGGAGGCCATCGCTAGGGTGGAGGCCATCGCTATGTATCCATCTAGGTGTGTATATCTCGGGAGACCCCCGAGTCCTCTCGCCCCTGGGGTAGACGGATCGGTTCTCCGAAGGGAAACCCGGGGGGGTCGACGCCACGCGGTATCGGTCTCCCTCACGAGCTCGCTCCGCCAGCTGCCAGCTGCAGTCGTTTCGTGTCTTCTGGCACCCCGAGATGTCGACCAATGGGGGTCTAACCACCGAACCTTGGGGATTTTTCATCGAACCTCTGATGGCCCACTGTTGGGCTGCGACGAACTGCTGACGGATCGGTTCGTAGGGTCGATACCCGGTTCGTACGGTCGATGTTCTGGACAATTCGTCCTTTTTTTTCTCTTCCGAATTGCATTTGTGGAGGTCACATGAGATAACCCTCGTCACGTTTTAGGCCATCATGAGAGGTCGAATTCGAATCAAGCAGTGAAACTCACACTTCACTGCAACGGTGGAACGGATTGTTGAAGTTTGCGTTGAAAGTGTATCGGTTCACAAGAGCAACTAATGTAGTGTACCAAATCAGGGGAGTGCCCACGATTGAAGAGCACCAATGTGTAGAAGACAGATTCCAAGTGATTTGCAAATCCTGTTGCGAAAAGCAACGAACGCGAAAAGAACACACGGGAGAAACGGTCCCACATCGCGTGGCTGTCCTGCAGGTAGTAGCTCATAACGAAGATCCGGTCAGCATCCTGTAGGATGCAAACCGAAATGAGTCCCACACACTCCGGACGAGTGAATAAACACAACTGGACCCGCAGAAATCGGCAAATATGCCATGTAGTAACAAGGGCCACGCTAGTAGTAACAAGTGCCTTACTAGTAGTAACAATGTTCGCTACTAGTAACAAGTGCATCGCTTCTAGTAACAAGTGCCTTTACTAGTAGTAGGCAAATATGCCATACTTCCATGGAAAAACTTTGGGACGGCTCAGTGCATATACCTCTTAGTGCGTGCCACCACTTCACTCTCGGCACACAGAGCGCCAGAGCGCCTCCGGCTTGGGGTTCGCAAACTTCGCCTTGAACCGGAGAACCTTGCCCTCATGTCGGAAGAGCTTCACGAAGTCCTCGCGCTCTGACTGAGTCTCAGTGTGGCCCAGTCTCTAAGCGGTCTTGTAGGCAGTCTCTAATGCAAACAGTTCTGGAAGGACAGGGATCCAGAAAAGGTTGACATCTACTGGGGTACTCAACGCCGGTTGGGAGAAAAACGTTCAACCCAGGATCCAGTTGGGAGCTTCATCACCTCAAAAAGATCAAAAAGAGCCTCAAAAATGTCTGGCAGAAAGGCTCTCCCAGATGCGTTCGATGGACGGCGTTTGCCCTGGAAGACTTCGTTGGTCGAACTCTTTCGCTTCGCTGCGGATCGCACTCAGTCTGTCTCAATCCGAGAAGAAAGCAAGCAGCTACGCTGGGTTGGGTCAACAACAATACACCAGCTGACACGCTTAGCTTACTGGGATGGTACTTGAAGAACAAGAAACCTCAATTCTCTGACCTTCTGGCCTAGGGGCTCCTGGCCTTACTAGCAGTAGCAAGAGGACGCTACTCTTCCCTTCGCATTCCCAGAGTACCGGTCCTTCTTGGGCAGCTTGGGGATCAAATGCGTCACCGATCCCATCGAGTCGTCCCAGGAGCCGTAGCCCGTGTAGGGCGGGGTCTTCGCCCTCCGCTTCATGGGATCGCAGGGCTGTTCGTTCGCATTGATCACACCGGGCTGCATTTCTCATCTCAACTTAAGAATGGACAAATCCTTTACCTCGTTTTTTAGGATTCGAAGAGCAACCATTGTTTGACTAAGGATTTGTACACTGCACCACCAGGTCGTTCCCATTCCTTTACTGGTCTGACCGAAGAAGACTCTTTCTTGGGACCAAACGGGATTTGCCTTGTATCGGCACTGGTTCGAAGAGTGGATCCGCCTTTGCCGGCAATGGTCCTATGAACATAGTAGCTATGCCAGAAGTGGAACAACCGGTGCATCTGTGCATCCTCCATGCATGGTCACTTCAAAAAGAACGAAAGAACCCGTCCTCTTTCCTCTTTTCGAAAGAAGAATGGCTTCCTTCCTCCCGCCTGGGCACGGCACGCTCCGGCAAGCGCACGTCCACACGTGGCTGCAGCTCTTCGCCCAGCTCGTTGATGAAATACTTCCGTGTGAACCTGCGCTTCTGAAATTTTCTCGAGCATGTTCTGGGTGGCCAAAGAAGGAGAAAGAGCTGCAAGATAGGATGTAGCCAGAGAGATCCATGAATACAAGGGGGCCATCTCCACACCCAGCCACCCAGCCAGTTCAACGTGTTTGGTCACAGGCACCCGACATCATAGCCATTGGCAACCATTTCTGACCAGGTAGTTGATCAGTTGGTGTGTCAGAAACATGTAGCGAAGTGGGCAAGACATTTCCAGACATCTCATTCCTTTCATTCCGCGTCAGGACCAACACCTCATGTTGGAAGACGACTCGGCTCGGCTCGAACCGTTTGTTTCGACTCGGCTCGAACCGTTTTGCTTTCGACTCCGCACTCATCCGCGTCGTAGAGGAAGAAGTGGTTGGTGCCCAACAGCTGCACCTGGTGAGGAGACAGCGAGGAGACGGCCCGCGAAGCCTAAGGGGGAGAAGTCGGCCGACCACTCGAAGCCTTGCTTTGGAATAGGTCAGGGGCTGACATGGCTAGACCCCTCAGCCAAGGGGCTGTCATGTTCACACGGAAGTCGTGGCCATGCACGAACCTTGGCGGCAAGTTGTGATCGACCCAGGAAAAAGAAAAAGGAAAGAAATCGGCTTCACTTCTAGCAACAATAAAGCTTTCTAGCAACTAGAAGCTACTAGATGGAGGCCATCACTATTATTAGAAATCGGCTTCGCTTCTCCTCTTACATGTGTTGCGCTGAGGGGGTGTTTCTGCGCTCTGCTCATGAGCGAAAAGTACAGCGGCTCTCAGCACCACCGTTAAGAAAAACACAAGAAAACCGGCACATGGCACCTCACGAAGTCACACCAACGTGGTGAGTTGCACCTCTCTTTCGAACGAGGAACTCGTTCTTCTTTCGCGCTTGCGCCTGAGGTCCCTCGACCTTGTAGGCGCCCATCGGCATCTTTCCCCGTCGGAAGAAGATCGGGAAGTTGTCCCTGCGAGCGATCCGGCTGACCGCGCCGTAACGTAAGGAACGTTGAGTTGCAAGGGGAAGCTATGTCCAGTTGCTAGAAGCGTCCATTTGCTCGGAGCGTGAGCTTCTTGCTCCTTGCTTAAGCAAAACAAAGCGAAACACGAAACGTTTTTTCCCCAAAGGCGGCCGGTGAACCTGGCCCGACGAGATCCTGTACACTGAAACCTCTTCGACGCGGACGTCACCACTCGCCTGCCGCAGTTCAGCGGGTACTGCTCCCGGATTTCGATGGTGTCATCCGCCAGGAAGAACATGATGGTGAATGGCCTCGGAGAATGTTCTGGCGAAATGCATTTCTTTGGCGATTCTTGAGATACTAACACATACAGTATGGCTTCTGGCGCACTAGTGCAACAAACTCAGCTTGCTGGCAGGGTCTTTTTCTGCATGTTGCCACTAGCATCCACTTTCACTTACAGCATCGGTTTCAGAAGGCAAAGCGACCATCCACAGCGACCATCACCGAACGCTCCCAGGCCACTGGGTCCCCAGACCGACGTTCGAACTGTGGCGTGGTCACCTCGGTCTCGTGCTCAGTCGGATGCCACTCGCTCTCTCTTTTTGTGATGAGCTCCGCGTTTTCGTACTCTGAATCATGGGAGGTCTTCTCTTTTTGAGTACCTGTCCTCATCCCTCCTCATCCCTCCTCATCCCTCATCCCCTTTTCTCGATCCTCATGAAGACCCACCAGCAGAAGGCGGTCCAAAAACGAAACGGTGTTGGGGTGAAGCGAAACCGCTTTGGCAGCACTGGCGTGAGAAGATGTGGGTCTGATCGATGTAGATCAATCAAGTGTTCCAGGATCTAGTTCTGGTGTCCTAAGTAGCTTGGAGGCCAGGGCCATCGCTCTTAGGTTGGATGTCATCGCCGTGGTGTCCTAAGTAGCTAGTCAGCTAGTCTTGAGACCACACGAAATCCGAAATCATGTCCTTAAGGGTCCTTCTCCAAATTGCTGCGAGCCAAGCCACATCATCCAGCACCGCATAGAAGCGCAACACCTGGCCGGTCCGTCCAAACGACCCACAGACCGGCACTCTTTCCTTTTTTCGGCTTTTTCATGTATTCATTCTCATACGTGTTTCGTTTGTTCTTCACGAACCAAATCAATTCGTGCACTCCGTGCGTGAGCTCGAGCTCTCCAGCTAGGACGCCACAGAACACACAACGCACTCGTTCCTGGGCGCCTTCTTGTCGTTCTCCAAGAACTGTTGCATGTCGGCGTTGATGTGGCCACCACCCAGCATGACCTGCGATCCCCACGGAGAGCAACTGGAGTCGTCACTGGCTCAATGTAGCTTCTTGTTACTTGATACTACTAGTAAGGCACCTGTTACTAGTAGCGTGGCACTTGTTCCTAATAGCTTCTTATGCACAAGAATAACCTCCACATGACATGTGTCATCCGATTTTTCATTGGCAGCTTCCCGGTTCCTTTCGCCGAAAAAAGTCGGTTTCAACTTTGTCCACAACCCCCCCCCCCGCATAAACGCTTCCGAAAACTCTCGGCGCCTCTCGGTAGATCTTCTCATAGGTTCGTGGTTGAACCGGAGCATGGTTCTTCCTGAGGCGATGGTGTGGTCCACTTCATGCGGAAACATCGGACACACCAACCACATCGGGCACATCTTAGACCTGGCGGTTGTTGCCAAATTGCACCCATCTCTGGTTTCAGGCCCTTCCGAACCACAACTAGCTAGAAAACTCAATCAAGAGAAGGATCCACACTTCAGACATTGACCAGTCGGAAACTACCAGCACCACATCACCATTGACTTTGTCATACTTTGTCCATCCCCAAAAGAGAGCTCTCCTGCCCAGCCACTACCAGCACTAAGAAACTAGATCTCCAGCACGCTCCTCCGACCCAAAACCGGTCGCATGGCCTTGGCTGCCCAAGGCGCATCGCGTCGCGCGTCTCTTGGAAGGGATCGGTCTCTTCCGGCTCCGGCGGGCCTTGTGGCACACCGGCCTGCTCGAAGTACTCCCTGCCAACGGAACGGATTGAGAGCTTCCCCTACGAACGGGGCGGAAGACCTGTCCAGTACGGACTCAATGTCTTTTAGGGATGCTTTCTTTCTCCTCCTGGCAACCTTGTCATCCAGTCCGCGGGTGGAAGTCGCCCAGTCCGAGCTCTTCAGAGCGTGTCCATGTTCACCCTTCGCTGGCAAACAGCAAGTAGCACTGCGCCAAGTGTGTTTGCGTGAAATTCGCATAGACCCCAAACAGCTTCAAAGAGAACCCCCCAACCAGTAAAAACCGCGTTCTTTGCGAAAAAACACACATAAGTCAACACCAACACACACAAAAACGCTTCTCTGCCTCGTGAAGGGATCGCAGTCCGTCACGAAAATGCTCCGGCCGTAGATTTGCAGCGCGGAGCCCACGCGGATGTCCTTGACACGGAGGAACCCGGGGGGGTCGTGGCCGAACTCCGTTCGAGCGGGATGACACCGAAGATAGCGTGGTGGACATGGTGGACATCTAGCCTTTTTCTCGAAAGATGACGGTTTTCGATATTGGATTCTATCTGGGTTGGAGGCCATCGCTAGTAGGTTGGAGGCCTCGTCCTTGCATGGCAAATGTTTCCACCCTGCCCGCTCCTCTGCCTTCAGGTAGCCCCCCTCCAGCGAGGGAAAGCGATGACGGCGAATCAACTGACCTGCACCGCAGCATGAAGGCAACGCAATTGAGGTGAAGGGGATTGATGAAGAACTTTTTCCAGCAAGAGTTCTTAATTTCTTTATCCGAACGTTTTCAAGGGTCTTTTTCCTTCTGGTCGCACTGGGGGCTGCCGAGTTGCTCTAGACTCTAGATCGCTCTCAAGCTAACATCACAGTTTCATTTTCTGCAGTCTGGGGAGGCCCTTCATGTTGGCTCAGTCGTGAAAACACGAGGCATGGGCCAGATTATGCGAAGACTCGACCATTTTGAAAAACACTTCCAGCTGTCAAAATCCCTTGAACACTTCCATCGCCATGGTGACCTGGCGGGTGCCAGCACCTGCCTTGGGGCATTCCGCTGTTGTCTTGCTTGGGCTCCTGAATCTGGCAGGTGTCGTCCTGCGGTGGTGCAAGAGCGGTTGGCCCGGCCCTGAACGGGGCCGACCAGCAACGACCTTCGCCGGCAACCTAAAGAACTGTCCTCCAAGTAGTAGTAGATCACCACCTTCCGTACACCTCACAGCACTGGTGCTGGCGGGCGCCACAATCCAAACGAAATGAGACTCACGGTACCGTGCCACACCGCGACGAGCCAAAAAAGCCAGTCATCTCTGGTGCATGTCAACCAAAACGAGTGACAGAGAATGGAACCACTAACAAATATCATCAATCTCTTAAGTTTCTTGTGAAATTCCACAAGCCTGCCCAACATCACGCACGAGAGCACATACATCCCTTCTACTTCCCCTTCAGTTTCTTTGTTTCTTGGTCAACACATGTCAATCCAACAAAACCAACAAGAATTCATCATGTCACAAACACGCTACTAGGGGCTCCTGGCCTTTCTACTAGGAGCAAGGAAGGACGCTACTAGGAGCAAAGGCCATCGAGGCACAAACACGTCGGTTTCGCATGTCGCAGCCCAGCGGCGGAAGTTCTCGAGGTTGGTTTCAACGACGGACTCCTCGCACGGACGAGATCGACTTTGTTCATGTTCGCGACTCGAATGGAGCATTTCGGGAGCGATCGCGACTCGAACGGAGCGATCGGACGCTACGAACGGGGCGCTCCTGGCCTGACTACTAGTAACAAGAAGCTACTAGGAGCAAAGGGCATGGCTACTAGGAGCGATCGGACGCTACTAGGGGCTCTGGCCGTACTACTAGGAGCAAGAAGCTACTAGTAACAAGAAGCTACTAGGTTCGTTTTCGTGTTTGTGGTGTCTTCGAAGCTTCCAGGGTTTGTTGTACTCGTGTTCGTAGTCACAGTGCTGGAGGCCGTTTCCAACACACATCTTCACGAGAGAAAGCTGGAGACCATTTCCAAGTCTGCCTATGGGCCCGGTGAATAGAAGGTGCAACCATTTCCAACGGAAACCGAAGTACGACGATCGACGATCCCCAAAGCGATGGCTCCTTGAAGTAGCCGCTGAAGCGCAAGACGTGGCGGTCAAAGGCGTCCCAGGCAGGGAGCTCTTGGAATTGGATGTCTTTACCAGCCTGAGCGTGGCCGGCCTTTTTCCAGGCTACCCCAGTTCCCAGAGATGCCCCTTTTGTTGGGGAGGTGGTGGCCAAATCAAAACACGCCAGTTCCAACCCCGATCGCCGAAGGCCGAAATCGGACCCCATCTTCCACGACCACACCGGTCCCACCGCTGTTCGACTTCCGTCTGCGTCGCCACGGTGCATTCTTAAAGACGGCGCGCGTCTGGCTGTCGGGGAGGGAACCGCTTCGCCACACGTCTTGGACCTTGCTCACCTGCGAAGAAGCTGTCAGCGATGCGTGGTGTCGACGGCGCCGGTGGGAGAAAGGGACAAATCACCGGGTTGAAAAGCGTTTGGAGGGGGTTCGGATCTGCAGTTCTTCGTGCTTCCTGTGTACTTCAGGGTGAGAGTTCCTGAATTGGGCAGTCTTTATTGAGGTCATGTTTAAGCTACTTCAACAGAAAGAAACATAAAAGGCAAGGGTTTGGACAGGGACAAAGCACTATGGTCGTGTCATGTCCAATACTTGTATATTCCCTCTGCCCATGCTGGAGACTCGCACCATTCTTACATGTTGCAATCGCGAAAACACCCCGAACAGGAATGGACGAACAGCCTGGTCGGCACTGTTCGCACCTTGACAAACTTTGGCTTGTCATGTGAGAAGCCCTCCTTCTGCTCAATCCGCACGCCATTGACGACATTCCAGGAATTGGGTCTGCCGTAGTTCTCCTTGTACCTCGGCAAAATTGAAGCTCGGGCGACTACATCTGACATGATGTAGGGATCTACTTCATCTACTTGGCCTTTCCTCCTTTTCTCCTTTCCTTTCACCTGAGGTTCGCGCTCTGGGAAAGTATACCCTGGCAGATTGGGCAGCGATTTGAGATCCGCGGGTGAGACTTGCGCCTCAGTCACTCGTCACAGCTGTGGGAAGTTCGGAGGAGGCGTGGTTTGCAAGTGAAGCGCATGGTCCTCGTTTGGTTCGTCGCCTATCAGCTTTGGACTCGACGAAGGAAAGAGAATCGTGCCGTGCCACCGGCAAATTCCGGCCCCGTTGAACTTAGTCCCTAGAAGTCCAGTTCGACTATATTTTGACCGGCTGAAGTAAAGGAAGTTCCCTGACTCAGGTCCCCTAGTCAGACCATTCTTTTTATAGTCGACTGGACTCCCATGGTTGATCTTAGTTCTTGATCTTCTGACGGTAGCTGACTATCATGATGGGATTCCGTGTCTTCTAACGTGCTCCTTGGGGGGAATGCTGGGTTCCCCGTGTCTAGCTTGCGAGATTTCTCAAAAGCTCCAACACTTCAGCACCCGACACGTGCTCCGCCCCCCCCCCCAGGAAGCAGGGAAGCGAAGCTCATCACGAAGCTCTCCACGACTTGCTTTGCCACTTCGACGTTAGCGCGTCCCAATTAAAGCACCGAGCGTCCATTGTGGAGGACGGAGGCCACCAGACCCCCACCGTCGTTGGCTGTTCTGCTATGAGCCCGGCGGCGTGGGTCGGGTCAGTGCATGTGCAGCTCTTTTGGCCGGCTGTTGCGGTGGGCTCCCATGAAACACAGACAAGACACTAATTGATGGAACTATTGGACATACGTCTCGTCGTTTGACTAATTACGTCGTTGGACTCGGAATGACGTTCATCTTGGTTTTCGTTTTTGCAAGGGGTTGAGGACAGGTGCGTGTATATGGGACATGACAGTCTGTGTGTTTGCAGCACATCATGAAGGTTGCTTCTGGATCATCATGATACCACACCAATCGAGGAAGTTTCCGAACGAAAGGAACCCAGTTGGAAGAGTTTATCCCTATACATACTTTGATCGAGCATTTCAAGCATCTTCAACATATCATTGAAGTGGTGTCACTGTCGGTGGCTTGAAAGCACTTCAACTGTTTTGCTTGTTTGGGTGTTGCGGCGAGCGGAGATCGCACGTCTCAGATGTGTCTCAGCCAACCACTGGAACACCAAGCTCTCCATCATCTTCTTCCTCTTCTTGCCCTGGCCTAGGAAAAGGACCATCGAGTGAGTCTCTTAGCACTGTTGTGAACCCGTTTGTCCTGCAAGGACACTTTACCGGGGTCAAAAGCCGATGTTGGTTGCGGGTTTTGGCGTACTCGACTTGATGGTTAATCTTCATGTGAGCATTGGAGTTAGCTTTGGTCAATCTCATTCAATCTCATTCCACTTGCCATTCAGGTACACTTGCCAATCTTTTTGTCATGAGAATACCAAGTGCAGCAAACAATCCAAGCAAGTGTTTGAACACACACACACGTCACACACACCAAAAAAGAACATGACTTTGTAAAAGAACCCACAGTTTACATGTTGAAGAGTTGATAACCATAAGAAATGCCAAGAACAGTCCTGTTTCGACTCCCTCGGCTCCACACGAGGGCGTGAAGGGAGCCAGGCCAGGCACCTGCGAAGATCCGAACATCGTTGACAGTGCGTCGTTTCACCCACGACGGGCCAAGTCTCAAGCAACTTCTACCTTAAGAAGCTACTAGGGGCTCCTGGCATCGCTACTAGGAACAAGGACGCTACTA